CACTAGGTCAACTTGCAATCTTATCTGTTCAAACGGTTTCTACATTTATGTGCCAGCAGAAGCAAGGATTCCCATGGCCATAAGCCAGCAGGTACAAGCCACGCTTCCCTGCGGTCACCTGATAATTGGTGTGATGGCACTTGGTGATCACCTCTGCTCTGGCCTGATTTGGTCCCTTTCACAGTAAAGAGATGCCTCTGCAAGCAATATAATTAAATTTCATAGCTGTAGCGATGCCAACAAATGCTTTTCTTCCACTAAAAATAGCAGCAAACAATACGGAGAATGATACATTTTGCATGGGAAGTCTTCTTCCTCTCTGCCTTTGACAAGTCATTTACTGGCTTTCTCTTGTATGTCATAAGTTAACATTTTTTTTGGTCCAGATAGCCAAAGTGAGTTGTTCCTGTGTTCAATCTTTTGATTCTGACATTGAAAAAAATCTGCATTGAAAAAAATCACTTGTGCCATCTGGACTAACTGCAATAATCAGTTATTTTGCTGAAATTTGAAAATTGATAGCTAATATGCATGAGGCTTGAACCAAAAGGAAATAGGGGAGGGGGCAAGAAGAGAATGTAGCTTGAGGATATCTGCCTTTAATTTTCTTTTCATGGTGTGGGATGATGAGATGGTTAAAAAAGAAATCTGTTTTGCTTCTTGACATTGATACATTTCAGTACCCAGTGCCTGTCTGGTGCCATCCCTAAACCAGCAATTGCTCACCCTTGGTAATTACTCACATCTGTTCTGCAGAACACCATCTTTACTATTTAACAAGCATCAGTAAACCAAGAGCTGATAATGCTGCAGCCAATTTTGTCCATGCCGTGGGTTTCATCTGAGTCATGTAATGTGGTTTCAGAGATTAACAGAAAAGTGAGACTTGGCAGAAAATGCTGATAGCATGACTTTTAATAAAGGCCATCAACTTCTGCGAGAGAAGAGCCCACCAGTTCTCTCATAGTTTACCACTCCACCATCTGCCCAGTTCACTGCAGACTGTTGTGACTTTTTCCTATACTCCACCAAAGCAACAATGATTGCACCATGTCCCATCCCTGGAGGTGTTCAAGGCCTTGCTGGATGGGGCTTCGGACAACCTGGTCTAGTGTGTAGCATCCTTGCCCATGGCAGGAGAGCTGCAACGAGATGTTCTTTAAGGTCCCTTCCAACCCAAACTATTCTGTGATTTGCTGATTCTCTATGTAACATCTACGAGATTGGAGCCAGGGAAGGACCTGCAGATCTTTTCACCTGCTGCATTGCCCAGGCCATAGCGCATCAATCAGTGAACTCTGCATTTAGCTCCATGGCTTTGGATGCATATAATAACTCTCACAGAAAAATATTCTTTATTTTGCTGCTAAAATTCTAAGAAATGGAGATCAACTGTTGGTGTTTTGTTCTGTTGGTTAATGGTTTAGAAGGGTTTAGCTTTCTAAGTTTCATTTACTTGGTTTTAGATTTCCAGACACTGGTTCTTACTTTATTACACATTTGTGACAGCAGGTCAGGTGTTCAGGGGAAGAGAAGATGAGAGCTTCGACTGGGGTGGTCTAGAGGTTTGACTGGTGTGGTGTAACTGCAGTTTTACCAGAACAGTATTAGTTGCTGCAATGAACCCACATCGACCAAATCAGTCCAGAACAAAAAGGAAAGAAATGCCAGATAACAAACTATTGCCAGGTCACAGAATCATAGATTATGCCAAGTTGGAAGGGACCCAAAAGGATAATTGAGTCCAAACCTTAGCCCTGCACAGGACCATCCCCAAGAGTCACACCATGTGCCTGAGAGTATCATCCAAATGCTTCTTGAACTCTGTCAGGCTTGGTGCTGTGACCACTGCCCTGGGCAGCCTCTTCCAGTGCCCAACCACCCTCCAAGTGAAAAACCTCTTTCTAATCTAATATCCAACCTAAACCTCCCCTGACACAACTTCAGGCCATTCCCTCAGGTCCTGTCACTGTTCACCACAGAGAAGAGATTGGTGCCTTCCCCTCCTCCTCCCCTCACAAGGAAGTTGTAACTGCAATGAGGTCTCCCCTCAGTCTCCTCCAGGCTGAACGCACTAAATGCCCTCAGCTGCTCCTCATACAGCTTCCCCTCAAGGCCCTTCACCACCTTCATTGCCCTCCTTTGGACACTCTCTAATAGCTTAATACCTTTCTTATGTTGTGGTGACCAAGACTGTCATGTACTTGGGCATTTTGGAATTCTCTTGGAATGATCAGGCAGTATCCCACCCCTCTCCATCCCACTGAACAGCTGGTTAGAAACAAGCTAAAACTAAACATAAGTTTCCTTCTCCCACCTTTCCCATGAAGCACCAGAGACTGATCTTATACACTCCTCTATGGTCTATGGATAGCTCAAATCTTTCCTTTTCTTATGTATTTGGTTGATGCATGTCACGGTTTAGGAATGATTCTCCAATTTAGTAGTCCCTCTTTTAAAAAACCAAACAAACATGCCACCCCCTTCTTCTCCTCCCTCTCCAGCTGGAAGCACAAAAGGCAAAGATCACAGGTTGACACAGGAACAATTTACTGGAAACGGCAATAAGATAAGAAAACAAACAGTGACAGCAGTAATATTAATAACAAAAGGTATCAGACAAAGAAACAATTCACAGGGAAAGCCCACGACAAAATGCTGACCGGCTCCTCCCCATCACACCCCCATCACACCGTACTCTCTCCTGACCAGAAAGGACCATCTGTCTTCCCAGAAGTCCCTTTTCCATTAGGATTACAGGATGCCTTGGCCACACCTCGTCCTGCTGTGGGCCAGGGCCAGGATGGGGCTCAAATGCCCAAGGTCATACTAGTCAGTGGATTTGGGATCAAGTAGGAATATTCTTCCAGGTCATGTTGACTCATGATGCAGAGGATTTCCACCCAGCTCTCCTTCATGGCTTCAGATAACCTTCCAAGCTCCTCCAGCACCTGTATGTGTCCCAGGTAAAGCTTTTCCAGTGAAGAGGCCTTTCCTGTGGGAAGCCTCTCAGTTAATCCTGTGCCTGCCTGTGGTAAACAGCAGGACAGCCGTCTGACGACTGAGCTATTTTTGTCAATTAGTGGTCTGGGCTCTTACCACCTTCTCTTCTACACTTAGCCTGTTCTCAGAGCATCTTATCTGACCACAGAATAGGAAACCTATGCAGAAATTCTCTCATTTCTCCTTTTTCAGGAGTGTTCCAAAACAAACAAACTAAAAATGTCACTGCTCCACAAATCCGCGAAGCGAAACTTCCTGTGGCAGAGTCTTTGCTTTCATTTCCTTCATAACTTGTCACTTTTGGAGAATGGATTTGATTTGGGTGGGTTTCTCAGCCAGACTGCACAGGTGCCTGGAGGCCTCTAGGGCCCTGCAGCCCCTCCATGTTTGTCATTGGTGCGGAGAGGGTGTTTTGCAATTATGTAATGGACCACTTTGCGGAGCTAGAAACACTGACAAGTGTCAAATGGTAGGAGAGGAAACCTCATTTTCCCTAGAGCCCGGCAGCACAAGCCACATACCTGCTGCACCAGCATTCCCGAGTCCTGCACGTGGGCCTTCAGCCAGGAATATCCTCCACCACTCAGTTAAGGTCCTGCCTCTGTTAGGATCCTACCTTGGGTAGGGTGATACTACAAAATCCAGGGCTGTGCAGACACACAGGGATGAGATGCTGCAAGTGTTGTGCTTTTACCGGCCCCGTGCCACTCCAGCCAACCACAGGGCCTGCCAGGTTAGTTGCACTGTTTTCCTTTGGAGCTAGGTCTGGCAGGCATATTGCTCCAATATAGCACAATGAGTTCATTAATAGACAACTTGGACCAAAGGCTCGTGAGACACGATGAAAATCATGAGAACTCATGATTGTCTGGAAGAAAATATTTTAAATAAAATGTGGCCTTACTACATACATAAGGTCATTGTTAAAATAGCATTAAGGGCTATTTTAACAAAAGAATGACTCGAACTTTGGTTAATTTTCATGCTGTTGGGCAAGCTGACTTTTCTGCCTCTTCATGGCATCATGCAGTGATGGCACAGACTGTGCAATCACAATGTGTATCCCTGTGTTGACTGCTCGGCATTAAAACACCCACCAGAACAGGAGGCACAACTGGAAAGGCAGCTCAAAGAATCACAGGATGGTTTGGGTTGGAAGGGACCTTAAAGACCATCTAATTTCAAGCCCCCGGCCATGTGCAGGGACCCTCCCACTAGACCAGGTTGCTCAGAGCCCCATCCAGCCTGGCCTTGAACACTTCCAGGCATAAGCCTCCACAGCTTTTCTGGGAAATCCTGTCTAGCACGGCAGAGTCCCAGCTGCCCCCCAGGTGTGCACGTCGTATGCGCGGAAGACCCCTCTTGTCCAGATCAATAAATTGGCCCATGGGTGCTGTGCAGCCATCTGGAATGTCCCCAGGGACAAACACTACTTACCCAAGTTTCTTTCCAGTTTCTACTGGGCAGGGCATGACCCCCAGCAGTGAGAGATTACATGTAAGGGCAAGACCCAGTAGTGCAGAAACTGGTATGCAGCCATGATTTATGCTTGGAGACTTGGAAAGGCTCCCACGTGACCAGTTTAGACATAATCTTTGTGAACTGGTCACTGCAGTTAAATTAGGGGGCAGGAATCCAAGCCCTCAAAATACTGTCCATGCTTTGTCAAGTTCTAAGCACCCTTCCCAGGAAGTTGCAGTAGAGTGCTGGTTTTGTCACAGTCTTGCCTACTGGTTCAGGTAGCTGTTTCAAAGTGAAGTGTGTATTTATGTGTCTGAAGCAAAGGCCAGTTTATCTAATGGCAGCATTTCGCACCCTGACTCCTGCAAGGAAATTTAAAAAAAAACCCCAAGATGTCTCATGAGCATATTTCGCCTTGGATATGGTTCATAGATGTTCAGCGTAGAGCCTGTCCTGAAAAACGTCATATCCAACACAAGCTGTTCTATGATCTTCTAGGACTGACAGTGTCCAGAGGCAGCGGAGAGGGAAATTGGAGCGATAAACAGAAAATAACTTCCCTCTCTCCTTTCAAGTCTCGCAGACGCGGTGCTGAAGCCAGCCCTCTTGGAAAGCACAGCAGCTCACTGGGTTGTAAATTCACGTACGCTGGGGCTCCTCCAGAAATCTGTGAGCAGAGAGTTATGAGAGATCAAAGCCTTAGGTAAGTAGGGCACCTATTATACCGAGCCTTTATCTTTTCTTGAGAGGAGATGGGAGAGAGCAGGAAGTTTGATGATTTTGCAAAGCTAAAGCAAAAGTTTATTTCTGTAGCTGGGGGATATCAGAGGCGTCTTCGCAGTGGTTTTGAATTTGCATCTCTCAATATTTGATGTCCCCAGTATGCAAGGAACATACTCAGGCACTCCAAAAACATGTAGGGTAAAGGGGAAATGATGCTAACAAGGTAACATCATTGTTTAACTTCCTCCCCTGACAATTTAAAATGTACTGAGGGATATCACTGTTGAAATAATTTCTCTTGTTCTTGTTTGTCAAATGCCTCTTTTCAAAAGCCTAAATATTACTGCTGGGTTAAACAGAAGTGTTCTGTGATATTACCTTAACTCAAACTGATCTCAGAATAGATGGAAAGCTCTTCACATACTCAGAACATGGGAATGTGTGAAAAGCCCTAGAAAAATATTAAGTCCTGCCTAATTTTTAATCCAAACATATTCCAGAATCTTGGCAGCCTCAGGCACTTCTTGGGACACATCAAATAATGAAGAGCCAAAATCTATGTAAGATTTGCAGTACAGCAAATTTTGAGAACTTGAGCAGTGGGATATATTCTCATCTGCTGGACACTGCAGGTCAGTTTCACTGAGGACTCTTGGCACTGACTGTCTAAAGGTTAGACACAGACATCTGGCCTCGAAAATCCAAAAACTCAGGCCAATCCTTGACTAGCACCTAGTATTGTAGCCTCATTTCTGACTTATGCTGGGCCAGAAATTGGCTCTTAATAGCTTATTCCACAGGAAGTCCACCAAAATTTTTCCTCTTCTAGAATGAGTATTGGTGTGTCCGAGTCTGCTTTTGTGGGGGATTAGAACTGTATGCACTATGTTGCTCTTAGTGAACACTATCGTGATTGTATATCTGGTATGTTCAATAAAAATATTTTGTAATGTTTTAGAGTTCCCTGACTAATTCAGGGTGGATGATGCCAGACAGAGGTATGTCAGTGATCTCTTGCAATAACATTTTAAAAGTTTTCAATTGTAGGAGTCCATGTGTGTTAAACAACTCTGAGTTTAACACGTGTTGTGATCTTTTGCTTGTTTGCACAGTTAGGTGCGTAGGGTCAAATTCTAATTTACGATCCTGCTGTAAATTCAAAGTTCTGTAACATTAACGAGGTTACCTATGTATCACATTAATGTTGTTAATCGTGGATCACGCTAATTATGATAACTTCAATCGCAGAAAAGGTGAGCTGAGCCTGAGAAACCTTGCAAAAGCCTTAACCTACCTCTAACAAAATGAGCTATGAACATGCCATTCACCCCTGTGTGAGATTGGAGCCAGATTTTACTCTGTTCCTGCTCTTTAGCTTCTATTTTATACAGGTGTCTCTCACACCTTTCAATATTCTTTTCTTGTATAGTTCTCTACATTTAAGTGTTAATAAGATTGGTCACAGAGCCAAAAAGTTTCTCTTCAGGTATTCAGCCATGACTGAAATATCTCTATTTCTCCAGAAGCCTTAGAAATTGTTGCTTTGAAGGTTATGTCACTGGTACTCTAACAAAATGCTGGGAAATTGAGACTTTTCACAGCAGCCAAAGGGAAGTAGGCACATGAATCTTCCTGAAATTCACTGGAAGGTGACAACCACACTATGACAAAAGTTAAAATGGAAACTTTGGTCAGGAGTTCTCATGACAGCAGTGGGTTGTAGTGACTACATGACCATGTGCTGCTTTTAGACTCATATTGTGGCTCCCTTTCTTTACTTGCACCTCTTATTTTTAGTTTTCCATCATAGTGAAAGCATCAGGGAGTCTGTGTGACAAACATCTGACATGCCTTAGAAAAAATCAAACCAAGACTAAGAACACCAGGGAGGGCTGTTTGAATTCTAATCAGGAACAACAAACCCATTTCTACAGAGCTGTCCCTCCCTGGGGTCTTGTGCTATTCCTTCATATGTTTTGGAGTGAAAGGCTGTTTATAGCCTCATTATAGCATGTTTAGCATTAAATGTCAGGAAGCATCTGCTGGCATATTTTTCAGTAGGAGACTTCTAAATTCTGCAAGTGAGTTCGGGTAGCTGTCCTGAATATACATGGGAGTTCCCTCCAGAGATTTAAACCCTGTCTTTGAAGGCAAGTTAATGCTGCCTTGTTGCAAATTCGCTTCATAAAATAGGGTTCTCAGTAAACGGTCAAGCTGAATATTCAACATTCTCTTCTTCCAGTAACATCCACTCTCTGGCCCATATCATAGGGCCCACTGTGAGACTTCTGTTGCTTGTGTTATTGCCATGTGTGAAGGCACACTCCCATGAGACACTGGTTTCAGCCAGCAAAGTTGTCTGGTTTAAGAAGTTAACCCCTGCCTAACCCCAGCACCACAGTTCATTGTGATGGGGGTTGTGGCGATGCAAGCCCTTGTGAGACCTTATTTGAACTCAGTGGCTGAAAAGATGCATTAAAAAAACAAACAAACCCTTTGTGTCTGATTTGTATGGCAATAACTTCAAGTGAACATAACCAGACTTCCACTAGCTTATTGTCACTATATTGTGCAGACGTTGGTTTAAAGCCCGTGAGTCAGGTCATAGACTCATAGAATGGTTTGGGATGGAAGGGCCCTAAAGATCATATAGTTCCAACCCCAATGCCATGAGCAGGGATACCTTTCTGTAGACCAGGTTGCTCAGAGCTCCATCCAGCCTGGTAAAGAATTTCTTCCTAATATCTAATTTAAACCTACTCTCTCTCGGTTTGAAGCCATTCCCCCTTGTCCTGTCGCTACATGCCCTTCTAAAAAGTCCCTCTTCATTTTTCTTGTAGGCTCCCTTCAGGCACTGGAGACCACAATTAGGTCACCCTGAAACCTCTTTTCCAGGTGGAACAATTCAATTCTCTCAGCCTTTCCTTGTAGGAGAGGTACTCCTGTCCTTTAATTATCTTGATGGCCTCCTCTGGACTCGCTCCAACAGGTCCTTGTCCTTCCTGTGCTGGGGACCCCAGAGCTGGATGCAGTGCTCCAGGGGTCTCACCAGAGCAGAGAAGAGGGGCAGAATCCCCTCTCTCACCTGCTGCCCACCCTGCTTTGGATGCAGCCCAGGACAGTTTTGGCTGCCTGGGCTGTGAGTGCACATGGCTGGGTCATGTCCAGCCTCTCACCCACCAGCACCCCGAAGTCCTTCCCAGCAGGGCTGCTCTTGATCTGTTCATCCCCCAGCCTGTGTTGGTACCGGGGGTTGCCCTGACCCAAGTGCAGCACCTTGCACTTGGTCTTAAACCTCATGAGATTCCCATGAGTCCACTTCCTGAGCTTGTCCAGGTCCCTTTGGATGGCGTCCTGTCCTTCAGGTGTGTCAACAGCACCACTCAGCTTGGTGTCACCTGCAAATTTGCTGAGGCTGCACTCGATCCCCTTTGTCTGTGTCATTAATGAAGATACTAAATAACACTGATCCCAATATGGACACCACTTCTCACTGAGGTCCCTTGGGACTCTGAGCCATTGACCACTATCCTCTGGATGTGACCTTCCAACCAGTTTCTTGTCCATCTAACAGTCCACTCATCAAATCCATCTGCCTCCAATTTACAGAGAAGGATGTTGTGGGATACCATGTCAAAGGCTTTACAGAAGTCCAGATAAATGACATCTGTAACCCTTCCCTTATCCACTGATGTAGTCACTCCATCGTGCACAGCCATGGGGTTCATCAAACACAACTTGCCCTTGGGGAAGCTGTGTTTGTTGTCTCAAACTACCTCCCTGTCCTCTATGTGCCTTAGCACATCTTCTAGGAGGATCTGTTCCATGACCTTACCGGGCACAGAGGTGAAGCTGACAGGTCAGTAGTTCTCAGGGTCATCCTTTCTCCCCTGTTTTAAAGATGAGTACAATGTTTCCCCTTTTCCAGTCACCTGCGACTTCTCCTGACTGCCATGACTTTTCAGATATCATAGAGAGTGGCTTAGCAACTACATCAGCCAGTTTCCTCAGGACTCTGGGATGCATCTCATGGGGTCCCATAGACTTATGTATGTTCCGTTTCCTCAGGTGGTCATGAATCTGATCTTCTCTTACAGTGGGAGGGACGTTTTTCCCCCAGTCCCCATCCTGCTGTCCACACACTCAAGAGGTGTGGGAAGAGAAGTTGCCAAGACTGAGGCAAAAAAGCTGCTGAGTACCTCAGCCTGCCCCTCGCCCATCATTTCCAGTTTTCCAGCATTGTTTATCACGGGTTGCACCTTCTTTGACCCTCCTTTTCTGGTTAATATACCTATATAAGCCCTTCCTTATTATTCTTTGCAACCCTTGCCAGGTTCAGTTCCAGCTTCATCTTGGCCTTCCTCAGCCCATCCCTACACAACTTTACTTCATCTCTATACTCTTCCTAGCTCACCTGTCCTAACTTCCACTGTTTGTGCATTTTCTTCTTTCCCTTTAGTTTGATCAATGGGTCCCTGGTCAGCCATACTGGTCAGTCCTTCCTTGCTTGAATTCTTAATTCTGGGGATTGCTAGCTCTTGTGCTCTATGGAAGACTTCCTTAAAGATCTGCCAGCTCTATTCTACTCCCCTGTCCCAGGAGATCTCACCAGCAGTCTCCCTAAAGAGCTGGAAGTCTTCTTTCCTAAAGTTCAGGGGCCTAAATTTACTCCTTACCTGACCCATGTCCCTTAGGACTGAAACTCCACTAATGCATGATCACTCCAGCCCAGGCTGCCTCCAATCTTGATGTCCCCAATTATCTTGTTTGTGTTGGTGACCAACAGATCCAGTAATGCACCCCCTCTGCTAGGGCTGTCTATTACCTGGGTCAAGAATTTATCCATCATGCCTTCTAGGAGTCTCCTGGATTGTCTACAGCTTGCTGTGCTGCTTTCCCAGCAGATGTCAGGGTGGTTGGAGTCCCACAACAGGACAAGAGCCTGTGAGAGCAATGCCTCTCATACTTGGAGCAAGAAGGATTTGTCAATAGGCTCCCTTGGGTCAGGCAGCCTGTAGTAGACATCGACAGCAGGGTTCCCTTTGTTTCCTTGGTCTCTGATTCTTACCCACAGGCTTTGGACTTGCTAGTTGCTGTTATTCAAAGACAGCTCTTCACATTCAATCTGACTCTTGATGCAGAGGGCAATCCCTCTGCCTCTCCTTCCTCTCCAGCCTCTTCTGATCAGCCCAAAGCTATCAACAGCTGCACTCCAGTCACAGGATTTGTCCCACCAAGTTTTGGTAGTGGCAACAGGGTTTAAGCTTTCTAGCAGCACAGCGGCTTCCACCTCCTCCTGTTGGCTGCCCATGCTGCAGGCACTGGTGTAAAGGCACCTCAGTTGGCCTGTTGGCCATGTCACCTCCCTAGAGGAACACCCCTTAATTCTTATAATTTCTCAGTGTTCAAGAGAAACACCATAAGGGAAACAATGCAGTGAAAATGCAAATAAATACACTTCTTTTTTTGTTTTCCGTATCAGCTCCCAGTCTGAGGATAGGGGCCAACAGGAGCTTCTGGGGGTGGGTTTTGAGTAGAAGCTGATGACCCATGAAACTGCCCTGAGGATTTGTAGCATAACCTCTTTGTTTGCAGGAAGTTCTGTGCCAAACCAGTCTGAGCTTTGGCATCCGTAAATGAAAGTGCCCACTTCTCTTCAACCCAACCAGTACATGTTCTTAGATACTTGGTTATGTATACCTGATAAACCATTTGGTCTCTTGCATGGCAAAGACCTAGAGAAGGATGCCCCAAAAAGTTGAATGTGGCTCATGAACACATCTGTGTTTCAGGACCTGTCTTCAGGTAGGCTGGTTTTATCCATCTTTTTGGATATGCAGAAGGGCCAAACCCAAATACCTTCTGCTTCACCCATCAGTGTCATTCTAAATTTTCTTACTCCAAGATGGCTGGTGTGCTTATTGCTGGGAGGATGAGTATCCACAAGAAGTCACGAGAGTTCTGTCCATTGCCATGCCTCTTTCCCAGCACTTTACAGCTACAGAAGGAAGCCACAACACAGTAGGATATTTATAAAGCAGAAACTGAGGGTGAAGAAACACAGTCAGTAGCTATGTACAGACACTGAATTCACTGAGCACAAGAAAAAGAGGTTATTGGTACCTACTGGTACCACCCATACTCCACAAGATGGGAGAGAGGGGAAATGCTCCCCAATATTTTGTAAAGGAGACAACAGCTTTGGAAAGAACTTCTCTGGAAGAAATCTTCTGGAAAAGAGCTGAGAGTCATTAAGGGAAGAGCAGATCACGTAAGCAGTTCTTGCAACACAGCTTTCCATCAGGCAGCAGCATGCCTTTCTTTTCCCCTTAAAAATTGCATCATTCTTAAACAGTAGCTTTTTAACTCCAAACAAAGGGAGTTCTCATGCTACAAAAACTTTAACCTAAAGCTGCACTCCCAGTTCCAAACTGTTAACCATTGTTACTTTGAAGTTATTTTTACTTTAGTGACCAACACAGCAGAGACAGGAAAGAATTGTAATTTTGTGTATCCTCCAAGGCTGATTCTGAAGGCTGTGTGAAAGTCTTCCTATCAGCTCGCTGACTCATAGCTATAGTGCTTGGAGGCAAAACGCTAACAGGAGAGGCTGTCATATTTCTGTTGGTATTAAAACTAAAATCTGCACTCTGTGGCACCTTTTTTCCTTACGAAGACCTTCTGTTTCAATAGTAATATCATGAACTGATACATGAACTGGAAAGTAAACAGAAAAAGAGCTTATTCATTTCTACCCCACACAGAAGTGAGTATTCCCATTTTGGGGGGAAAAAAAGTGTTTTTAACAGGACTTTGAGACAGCCTCCATTATATAAGGCATTTGTTATATGAAAGAGACTGAAAAATTCTCATATTCTGAGATATCACTGATGTGTCTCTAAACACCTTTTAGTTGCTGATGTTTGCTACTTGGTCTCTTGATGAAGCGAAGAATTATTGTTCCCTTTTATGAATAAGAAAATAGAAGCACAGCAGCATTTATTCACTCACTCAGGATCTGCCACAGATATGAGAGGGGATCTGAATCTCACTTCAGTGTTGCTCGGTCTGTTATCCTTCCTTCTTTAGGTCATGTCCACATGACCCTATTAGTCATAACCATGGTCCACTACCTAATGAGAGATCTTCAAATAAAATTGTAAGCTTTCACTGCTATGTTTGCAATTTCATCTGCTGCATTGAAAGCCAAAGAACAGATTTAGTTTAAAAAGGGCTACAGAGAAAGTGGTACTGATAAATCTCTTTTTGTTAGCCAAGAACGGACAGAATACAAAAAAAACCCCAAATAGATAAGACGGTTAAGGACATGTGAATTACCATTTAGAAAGGCTTCTGCTTCAATAATTTAGCATATTGCAAGGAATGTTAAAAAAAAATTTGAAAAAAATCTTTATCTATTTCAACCTGACATTAATTCAGAATTTTTCAGGCAGAAGGTGTCATTGAATCTAAAAGTAGGCGGCAAAAAGGACTTACAGGAGCTAGTCAATGCTTGTGAATTAGTACTGGAAGTTTGCATTACTGAATTGTAGGAAAAGATGCAATACTGGTGTTGCAGATAAATGTCATTATTTAGACAATTTAATTTTATCTTAAGTTTTCCTATTGCACCCTATCACAGTTGTACTGGGGTGATTTTTTTAGATTAGTTCTACCTCTTCTCCATCTCAGAATTATCATTGTAAACTTTTTTTTCAGGTTGAAGAGGGCGTTAAAACAAAAAACTTTGTGTCAAAAGCTGAACTTAGATGGGCCATGGAATCCAGAAACTTGAATCAGTGCCCTATTGTATTTGGCACCACAAATCTCCCAAATAATCGACTACCCCACAAAAGTGGCATACATTTTATAAGTCCTTATGGGAGATAGTGAAATGTCTGACCTGTAAGAAAGAATATAACTTGTGATTGGAATTCTCCATCTGAGTGCTGACCAAGAAGACAAATCCGCTGATGGCCTGAAGTTGAGCTCAGTGTCCCGCTGTTGCTTTAGCTGCAGCAGGGTGCACCAGTGGGTTTTTTGGGCTGCATTTCTCTCAGATGAAATAGAGTCCTGCCTATGGTACATAAACCTTTGTAATACCCGGTGTCACACCCGAGTCCAACGATCAATTGCCTTTTATTTGCTCAGTGCTGCACGGTGCCATGTTCCACCCACAGCCCCGGGAACTTTGCCTTTTCTCTTGCAGCCCTTATCGAGTACACGGAACAAGCCAAGACATCCTGTAACTTCTGGATCGTGTTCAGCGTGCTCCTGCACAGATTTGCCTCCAGATCCTGGAAAGCGTGGTGTGCCCCCGTGAGCTTCACCTCCCAGCTGCGGAGAAGGCTGGCGTGCTCCGTGGAGGAACCACCCAGGGAGTTTAAAAGAAGCTGTGTCTTTTTGTATGGTGCTGAAAACAATCCCTTCTGCTTGTTGTGACAAACAGCTTCAGGTAGAAAAGAGGACACAAAACAGCCAGGTAGGACAATTTCTTCATTTCTTCTTCTAGGACAAAACAGTGAAAACTTGCATAGGAACCCAGATTTCAGCTATGTTTTCCTGTGCATTTTTTTCCTTTTGCATACTGGGTTATGGTGCATCTGCAAATGCTGGTTCTTAATAATGAGTCTGGTGTCTTAATTTTCTGCATGTAGTGCTAGCCCTAATGTGTCAGTGACACTCAAAGGTAGAGCGAGTTTGGACCACTGCAGTGTGGTTTTAGAAAGCTCTCCAAAGTCAGTGGGGAAGTACACGTCCATTTTACTTTCTTTGGATCCAGGCCTCTCTTCTCTCCCCATTTAAAATTTCTGAATAGAGAGAGCCAGGCTTCTCCTCTGTAGAAGGTGCTCCAAGTTCTCCCTATCCTTATTACATGGCATTTTAATTTAAAAATAAAGGCCTGAAACACAGGAATGTCTTGATCCTTCATCATGAAGGGTTTTGTATTGTAACTGACTGTCTCTGGAGGAGATATGCCCTAGCTCAAACTGGTAGATGGGACAATTAACAAGTTGTTTTCTGGCCTGTTATGTGCTAAGCGATAAATGGTCTCACTGCCTCTAAAAGTGGAGGGTGTGAGATTTGGATGGAGCATTTGCACCACTTGCTTAAGACCCTTATATAGAAATCCCAATGTTAGGATTCTCCTGGATATGCTTTTCTTAGCGCAGTTACTTTTGTTTCATTAAGCTAGAGTGGTGATGTCAACTCATGGATGCCCAAAGACTTTTTGAAGGTGGAGAACTGACTAGAGGAAACACATCCAAAGTATCTTCTGTACCAGTGAAAAAGAGTACCCCTTTCCCCCCTTGCTCATCTGACATACGAAGTCCTGGAATGTTTCCTCACATCTGGTACTATTTTGACTCTCACCCCAGGAGTAAGACACCTTAGCATGTATTGAAGGAGGATTTTCACCACAAGGTATTGCCCTTCTCTCTCTGCCCATGATTATTCAGGTATCCTGACACAGGCAAAAGTCCCATGGAAGCCAACAGGAGATTTTGCTAAGTGAGGCCATAGGGGAAGGAACCTTTCTGTTTTAGCTAAAGTGAATTTGCTGCACTATCTGACTCTGCAAATGTCAAATTACTTCAAAAACAGTATTGAAAGCAATGGTTAAGGTCATACAATTGGTGATAAAGGCAGTCTCTATTTCTCAGCGATAACTTGGTTGCAAAGCATCAGAGGAAGGTAACACTGCAATTCACATTACTGAAGCAACTGTTTACTTCCTTCCCAGTGAGTGACTTATTTTTCTTAGTGATAAAAACTCCCTGTGGATCTCTATTTAGTCAAACGTGTGACTTACTGCACTTTAGCTTCGGTTCTAGCTGTTATCTTATTTGTGACCTACACACAGTTTAGCATTACTGAAAATCACCATTCCAGGCTTAAGCAAAAAAAAAATGACTGGGTGGAAGAAACACAGATGTAGGCTGGTCTGCTGATATCACAGTAAATCATGCTGTTTGGTGGCAGCATGATGACTTCTCTCCAAGTCAGCCAGGAAACACGCTCTCAGTTTCGCTGGGAATAGTTCACCACCATTGGACAAGAGAGATCCCCAGAGTATGACCAGACAGTCAGTTGTCTATGTTAGAGGGACCACTCTGTGCTCTCTGGTGACTCACCTTCCACACACTCAGCATGGCAGTGTTTAGTCTGGACAGCCATCCAGTCCCTTACACTCATGGGTCCAGTCTGGGATGCACCAATGTTTGCATGTGCTCAGCACTGGCTCCAGAAGAAACAGGATGAGGTTCTTGCACCTGTGTGAAGTGATACGGGGTAAGGAGGAAACCCACATGAGCACTCAAGACTCACACATCAGGAAAACTCAAAGCGATGAGTTCTGCTCCACTGTCTGTATAAATGTGTGTATATATATATATACACACACACATATATATATAATGTTTGTTTATTTATTTATTTGTTTGTTTGTTTAAGCCAATTTTCACATTTTAAAGGTGGAATTATGTGGCTTTACTGGTGCTTCCAATGCCATCGCCCAAGCAGGAGCATTTGAGAGCGTAGATCACAGTCCATTAACGACTTTTCCCCATGTGCTCCAATGACAGACAGCAGTGTGAGATGGTTAGACTGAGAGTTGGGCAACACTGCAGTGGTTCCAAGGTCAGAGCTGGGTGCATGCCCTGTAGACATGGCTGATAAATATGATCCATAGATAAACAAGACTCCTTTTCCTTTTCCCTGACTCACTCCAGCGGCCTGTGGAGCTCCCTGAATCACCTGAATCACCTCCATATGTGATTTAGCACTACTCTTTCATCCATTGCTTCCTTCCTACTCCATTGTTCACGTGATTCTGAGTTTGCTGGGATATGCAGCTACTGTGGGCTGCAGTTTCAGGGGCAATATGGATTACCAAGTAGTTTAACATCAAGACCTTCACTTGCTTTCCCCTGACCTTTGGTGAGAGCTATTCTGTGTAATTTATACGCTTGTCACTGGAAATGTTGCCAATGCATTCCCCACCAGCCATTGCACTTCTTGGACAAACAAGACTTAGTTTACTTTTCCATCTTAAATGTACAGATTTGGCTTTACAAGAGTACAAAAGATACAGGTGTGAGGGGAGTGAGAACAATGGTTTTGCTTAATTTATGCTTGTTTGCAAGGGACTGCTGTCTTGCATTCCAATTAGAATTGCTCTCCCTGCTATTCTCTTCTAGACCTCTTCACCCTTGGAGCCATGTCCTCAGAGTGTTTTTCCCAAGGGCTCTGTCTCTGCACTGGGTGGGGTGGCTGGAGTGTATCCTGAAGGCTGTTCCTCCATAACAAAGCCATCCAAACTGATGTGTATCTCCTCCTGAGCTGCTGTAGTTTGTAGGAACTGTCATGTAAGCATAAACTAAAACTGATGGTGATTTATGTTTATTTGTGTGACTGTAAACCATGACTACTCCAATTAACATCCTCTCCAGCTATATATGCTGCAAGATCAGATGCCTCAGCTGCCTGTGTTAGATTTCCCAGGTACCTTACAGAAGTCCCCAATCTCTACTGCCTCCAAATAGAGGCATCCCACATTAAAATCACTGATTTCCAGTGCTTTTTGTTACTATTATACCCACCAAGCAATAGGTTTGTCTTTCAGTCTCACTCTAGGCCTGTTTCTCTTCATCCTGGTATGCTCCCAAAGTTTTTTTTTTTCACATGTGAATTCTTTTACCTCTGCTGCCTGGCCTTCACAGCTCCTTAGTATGTTTCTTCTTTCTTTAACTCTTCTTCTTCAAGTGATGTAAGAGCCTCCATGGAGGCCTTTTCTTGTTTTGCTAAGAAACAGAAGACTAGAAACACAAACCAAAAACTTGAACAAAATTGTAGGACACTTGCAAGATCAGCTGCAGACTGCAATGAGTTTCCAAGAAATCATTCATTTAAAACCTTTCCACTACATCAGATATTGATTAATGAAGCAATATATACTTTGGTCTATTTAAATGTCATGTCTCACAGACAGGGTTACCTCATAGCCCAAATATTTTCAGGAGTCTCAAGGTATATCTGTGTGATGCATAACTTTACCACGTGCCAGAGTGAATTCCCAGCTCCAGCCAGACACCAGACACTACTTTTGACTCTGTGTGCTTGCCAGACAATCTCTGGATTGTCACCAGTTTCATTTCTGGTCAACCCTTGCTGCAAACTGTGCTGCAGGTGGACTGGCCAGAAGAATGTGCTCTTCTTTATTTGGTTTACAAACAGCATTTTTTCTCAGCACTTTTTTCATGGACTAGTGTACATATGTTCTTTCCAAATTTGCTGCACAAACTGATTTGGGACACTGCCTTTGCCTAATCCCTTTGTGTTTTATGCTGGTGTTTTTTTTCTCCTAATGCCAAAATAGCAGTTTGACTGTAGGAAAAACTTCATGCCTTTCTGGGCAGACACAACCTGTTTAGCAGATGGCATCCAAGGAAACACTCAGACCTCTTTCTGAGCTGACTACATGTCTGTACCAAGCTCATCCCCAAAGCTAATCCAATCTTGCTTCTTCTAAGAGAAATTATGACTTTCATTTACTGACACAAGGCATTTATTCCGTTCTGATTACACCACCTTTGCTAAGTCTTTAGGGATTACATGTCTTTTTTAGTACTTTGCTTCATCTAGGGAAGTTGGCTGGACATCCACAACTTCTCTGGGCAACCTGTTCCAGTGTCTTACCACACTCACAGTAAGAATTCTACCTAATACCTAATCTAAACCTGCCCTCTTTCAAATTAAAAGCATTCTCCCTTGTTCTATCTTTGCATGCCTTTGTCAAATGCCCTCTCCAGCCTACTTGTAGGCTCCCTTTAGGTACTGAAAGGCTGCTAAGAAAGTTAAAAATGCATTATCTGAAATAATGGAACATGGCACAAAAAGAACGTAAAAGAAAAAATCATACCCTGAAGATTATGCTTAAGAGTACAGTTCCTCCTTGTCTGCATTAATCCTTATGTGGCTTCCACCACTCTTTCTATTATAATAAGCTGGGATGTCCTGCAGTTATCTAAAGATTATCTATTGCCTTGTGGGGAAGAGGCACCAAAACTGATTGAGTTTGCTTCAGTGCCACACCAAGCTAGAGGGCCATGGCCCTTGTGTTTCTTTTTATTTCCTTATTAAAAAAACTAGTTTCTTTATTTCTCCTGACTAGGCATTTGGTGCCCCACAGCACTGCTGAAACTTTACTTAATTCCCTTTAGTTCCAGAGTCTTTAATTATGTTTTCTGCTGTGTATCTTCATTAGCACATTACCAGCTTCAGGCTGTGTGCCATTGCCTTCCGGAGCTACACTGGCAAAACCTTGGTCACTCTGTCAGAAGCAGAAAATGCTGTCTCTTCTTGTGGGGCCCACAACTTACTTAACCCTGCAAGCAGCATATGAAAACCAAACGTGGTGCAACAAATTGTAACTCTGGGAATAAGGTGTTTAATTTAAATACCTGCCAACTCTGGGAATAA